GATTTTATTCACGGGGAGGCTCCTTCGTCGCTTTTAAATGATTCAGAAATGGACGCCTGCTGGGCTCCAAACGCGGAACCAGGTGGAACTCATGGCGGTAAGAGTGCAGCAGCGGTTCGACTCGCGGCTACAAGGCGATCCAGTTTCGGGGGTGGGCGGCAAACATTTGGAAAGCGTGGATGGAGTCACATGATCTGGGAAATCTGGAGTACGGTAGTGAGATTCGGTTCCCACAACCCCAAAGTAGTTAGAGTGTTGGGATTAGTAAACAGTGGTTAACGGCTTGGCACGTTGGAACAGGACGGCTGCTGCAAGTCCCACCCTATGGATGGCGCCAGCGAGAGAGACCCGTCTGGGGAATTCGGTACGTCTTCCTTTGCGGAATGGATTGAGGAAAGACCCCCGAAGAGTAAGCACGGCGTTGGGTTTCAAGCACGGGAGGAAGCGGGGGCTGCTCCCCTTCTCCCCAAGGGGCTGCTGGACAGCCACCTGGGATGCTTTAAATCTGACTTTTGCAAATTCAGGAAGTTGGATTCCTTACCCACAACGAGCGGACAGATTGTTTCCTAGTAAAATAATCAGTCCTCAGTCTCAACTACAGTAGGGAAGGATTAGAAACCGGACATTATTTTTGTTCCTGGGTAAGAACGAGGTTCTTATCGTGAAATGGGATTTAATAGTAGATGATTTCTAAAAGCTCATGGCCGTGCTTTCTTATCGGTCACCGTTCTCTGTATCCCGCCTGGCGTGTGACGCCCCGGGGCCTCCTCTAGTGAAAGCAAACCCGGCGCAAACTCCCTTCCGCAGCGGAGAAAGAGTTAAGGGTGACTTCTTCGCCTCTGCTCCACTCCTTTCTGATTGGCCGGGTGTCGGAGGCGAGCCGCTGACGTCACGCTCCTTGTGCCCGGATACAAGCTGCGTGGAATGTCCGCACCGGCAAAATCCGAATCCGAGCTGAGAAGTTGGTTCGGCGCAGGAGCGGAACAGGGCCGCGGTTCCTCTGGAAGGACCGAGGAGGTTGCGCTGGTTGGTGAAGTCGTTTGCCCCTCCTCGCCTCTCCCTGTTAAGTCGGCTGGCTTAAGAAAAGGGAGGGCTGGTAACGTTACTCAGCAGTAACGCCTCCCGAGCTCCGTGGGGCTTGCTTGTTCCCCAAACGCTGCGTCCTGCATAGTATGTAGTATTCTGTGTATGTATAGGGCATGTATGTTCGTCTTTCCCAGGCTCTTGCTACAAGTCCCAGGTTCCTCTGTCTGGGCTTGATGGGGCTTATAGCTGTAGGAGCCCTAACCTTGGGGAGGCTGTTATATAAGGGCTGTGGGCAGACACCGGATAGGCACAGCATGCGAAGCCACCGTGTGGTTTGCTTATCTGTGATCTGTTGTTATATTTTTTCCCCTCTTTTTTATATGTATGTAACTCAAGGTGGCAAACTTGCCAACTACTCGTTAGTGTGTTGTGGTTGGTAAGACAGGTTTGTCAGTTCAGCATATGTTGTGAGCCCAAACAAAAGTGTTCATTCGGTGAAACCTAGTAAGCAAATCTTAGCATGTGGTCTTGATGCAGCTACAGGTTGTTGGTTTCCAACTTGCTTCTGTCCTCCAAGTCTGACATAGGCTATCCACCAGTTGGCTATTGGTTGAAGGTTGCTTAATTTTATGGTAGGCCGTTGGCTTCTCCGAAGGATGATAGTTTGAGTTGGCATGTTCATATTCTGTTTTGGTGATTAGGCTATCGTTGGGTTGTCAACTGCCAGCATTTTGAGAGAAGGATAATGATGTGAAAATACTAATGTTTCTGGTCTGAATACTTCAGAAGCAACTCTTAGATGCATTTTGTCCAGCTGCTCCTTATATCACAAGCAGTTTATAAGCTAAAAAATGCTAAAGGTTACAGACAATACTGTAAGCAATTCTGCTGAGACCTCTGTGGTCACATGATCTTTTTCTAGGTGACTGAGACCCCACAGTTCTGATTTTATACTTTCCAACTGACCTCATTCTTCCTTACGGTTCATTTATTTCCAACTTTTTTTGACTTGGTCTGCTTCTTGAAAATTTTTCCCGCAACCTCTATTGTTTCTCCTAAATGTTAGTTGTAAGCAATGTAGATATGGAAATAATTATCAATGAATATGTTTACAGAAATTAAAAAGAATTAAATAGCTGAATGCTAATAACCACTATGAAGAAATTGTTCACCATAGTTATAATTAATTAATAAATGTACTGAAGAGGTCTCCAATATTTTAAACAATTATATTTAAAAGGTTTTGCATGAGATTTAAAGTATTACAATGCTTCCTTATGAGCAGTTGTTTACTTGTTATTTTGTTTAATAAGATTTATTAAATCTGTATCTTTATTTTTTTTTATGACTAGAAAGTCTGGGATATGGTTATGTCAAGAATTGTGTAGTGTTAATTTTTGACTATGCATACCAATTTAATTTTGTTTGTTTTCCTTCCAAGATGCATCCTGTGCTAAAAGCCTTTTTTTGTGGTTCCATCAGTGGGACATGCTCCACCCTGCTTTTCCAGCCTCTTGACTTGCTTAAAACCAGGCTTCAGACTTTGCAACCAGCTGTCAGTGGGCAAGTATTTCAAATATTTACTGGAAAATTTTCTGCTGTGGGCCTTAAGACTCTGGATTGGAAATTGAGTGGTGATGGAAGAGGGTGAGACTGATATAGAAATAAGGTAGGCAAAGGTGTACTCCTAGGTTTTATATGATCTTACCAGTGAAGACATCAGTATTGGTTTTTTTATTGAATAAAAGGTATGTAGTCCATGCATGAAGAACTGGTGATAAGCTTTGCCTATGTACAAGCTGGCTTTATTTATGAATCTCAGCTCACTTGTACAAAGAGAGAAACATTCAGATGGTACATCTGAATTAGTCCTAAACTAAGGAAGATAGTTCCTTTACATGGCTGCTTGTAATGGAGCAAACAGCAGAGTTTCACATTCTTCTTTAAATGTGGGATTGGGAATCAGTAGATAAGAAGAGTGGAGTTTTAGCCACTGTTTATGCATTTACATGCATCTAAATAACTTCAGGAAAAAAGATGTCTCAGTCTGCAGTGGATCTTTGGCAATGCTGGATAGGAATAAGAGTTGTAGTCCCAATGCATGTAGAAACCATTGGGTTTAAGGAAGACTGCTATATGGTATATGGGGTTGAACTCTCAATCTCATAATTCCCAGTCAGTATACTAGCTGGTATTTATGGGGGTTATAATCCAGAATGTTCCCTGTTGGGGAAGCTGTAATAAATGGCTGTTGAGATCTACCCGTTTCTAATATCAGGTTTGTTCCCTCCTCCCCCCCCCCCACCCCACAGATCAGGCCGTGTTGGGATGGTAGCTCTGCTGTTCAAAGTTGCTCGTACAGAAAGTATATTTGGGCTGTGGAAAGGTGTTTCTCCAGTAAGTTGTCTCCAATAAGTGGTGTGGCTTTTTTGGTTTGCATTGGATTTGCTGGAGTGAGCTGAATGGTTTATTTTGAGATTAAAGCCATAAGAAGCCTGAATCATTGCCACTAAAAGCCAATGGCAACCACTTCAGAAATAAATTTACCCAACAGTGGCTCAAAGAAAAATAACATTTGCTTGAGCATAGTTAAGCCAGGTGGTACAGTGGCCACAGAGTTTTCAGAATGGAATTGGGAAGTCTGAAAGGGAGTTGTCATACTCAGGTGGACACATGGAGATCAAAGTAAACCGTCTTATGGCTTACCATGAGGTCTAGGTCCCTTTATGCCAAAACAGTGGCCAAGCTCCTACAATGCTCTGAATTACAAACTTACCATCCTCTAGGCCATATGTTGAGTGAACTTGGTCACAGAGTTTTTCAGCTGTTTCCCACACTCATATATTGCTGGTTATTTGGATTCCCTGGAAGTATAATTCTGTGGGCACTAGGACCTATTTAATCATGGAGGACAGGAACACCTCTCTCTGGTGTTCAGTTTTCCATCCTGCTTTACTTGATCTTATATATTGAATCTGAAACTTCCCTTTTGAAACTGACAAAATGACCTCAGGCCAATTGCCTTTGCCCTGCCTATTCTTTTTCATGCAACCTTCTTAAGTTTCTTGGAGGAAATGCAACATTGTAAAATTGGGGAAAAAATGAAAAAATAGATTGTGGCTCAATCTGTTTGAAAAAATAAAAATTGAAAATAGCTATTACCTTTTTTCCCCCTTATGTTTGTCTCCTTGCACTATTGTCTGTCTCTCTCGGCTTGCCACCTTTTGCAGTCCTTCGCACGATGCATTCCAGGAGTTGGGATTTACTTCAGCACCTTATATATGATAAAACAGCGTTTTTTGTGGGAACGCTCTCCTACTGCCTTGGAATCGGTCCTCTTGGGTGCAACCTCACGGACTGTAGCTGTTATTTGTATGTTACCAATCACAGTAGTGAAAACACGATATGAGGTGAGGAGTTGTTTTTTATTGGAGAATTTTATTTATACACTTTGAATCCTTTTATGCTACTTCAGTCTTTTCAACTCTAAGCAGCTTATAGCAAACCCCCCACCACCATACAATAAAGTAATATCCAAAACAGACAGGAACATCAATACCATAACTTTTACATATCTCTGATATGAATCCATCTATCAACACTCAATAAATTATATCCATATTGATATCAGTAGTGTACAATTTTAGCAATATTATCCTTTGTATTTAGAACTTTTTTCCTGCTCCACGTGCATGTACATTTTGGCAGAACTTCACATGTGCTTATGTGGTAGAAGGTCCACTTTGACAATTATGTTTGATTTACAGAGTGGAAAATATGGCTATGAAAGTGTATATGGAGCCTTGAGAAATATCTACCAGTCAGAAGGGGCCCGGGGCTTGTTTAGCGGCCTGACAGCAACACTTCTACGTGATGCACCTTTTTCTGGCATCTATCTGATGTTCTACACGCAGACCCAAAAAATTGCATTATATGGTAAGTGTACTGGTTCTGTGGCTTCTTCTGTAGAATTTAGAATAGAGGAAATATGCCCAGCGTTCCTCACAGTTTCAGTATGAGGCCTTTGTAGCAACAAGATCTTTTACACCTTTATCTTATTTTTTTAAAATGTCCATTTATATATCACTTATTGTATAAATCCCAGTATCTTGTTCTCATCTTTGAAGTTGCAAAAAACATGGAATATTGAGCCTGCACATTTTTTAGGTTTCTTTGTTGATCTTCTAAATCATAAGCATTTTTTTCTATAGTGTAATGATTCTGGAGCCATGAATCCTCTAGTCATTGGGTAGAATGAATGACTTGATATAGCTTTAAGAATATAAAGATTAATAATGTGTTTCAGCTTGAATGTTTGTACTTAAAATGCTTGAGAAAAGACAATATACTTTCTTCAAGAGAATAGAACAGGGATTCTCTCATTATGGATCATGACCCCTAGGGGTTGTACACTTTAAAAAAAAAAGGGGAGGGGATAATTATTCCTTTGATTCTAATTCTTTGATTTGCATGTTCAAGCCATATTAGAAGTTTTATAACAGTGTTACTTTTCAGGAATGTAGAATTAACAACGTAAATTTAAACTAATGTGTCATTTAACCTCCTGGAATTTGATTTGTTTCTTACTTACAGTGGGGCAAAAAAGTATTTAGTCAGCCACCAATTGTGCAGGTTCTCTCACTTAAAAAGATGAGAGAGGCCTGTAATTTTCATCATAGGTATACCTCAACTATGAGAGACAAAATGGGGAAAAAAATCCAGAAAATCACGTTACACATTAGTTTAAATTTACGTTGTTAATTCTACATTCCTGAAAAGTAACACTGTTATAAAACTTCTAATATGGCTTGAACATGCAAAACAAAGAATTAGAATCAAAGGAATAATTATCCCCTCCCCTTTTTTTTTTAAAGTGTACAACACATTAGTTTAAATTTACGTTGTTAATTCTACATTCCTGAAAAGTAACACTGTTATAAAACTTCTAATATGGCTTGAACATGCAAAACAAAGAATTAGAATCAAAGGAATAATTATCCCCTCCCCTTTTTTTTTTAAAGTGTACAACACATTAGTTTAAATTTACGTTGTTAATTCTACATTCCTGAAAAGTAACACTGTTATAAAACTTCTAATATGGCTTGAACATGCAAAACAAAGAATTAGAATCAAAGGAATAATTATCCCCTCCCCTTTTTTTTTTAAAGTGTACAACACATTAGTTTAAATTTACGTTGTTAATTCTACATTCCTGAAAAGTAACACTGTTATAAAACTTCTAATATGGCTTGAACATGCAAAACAAAGAATTAGAATCAAAGGAATAATTATCCCCTCCCCTTTTTTTTTTAAAGTGTACAACACATTAGTTTAAATTTACGTTGTTAATTCTACATTCCTGAAAAGTAACACTGTTATAAAACTTCTAATATGGCTTGAACATGCAAAACAAAGAATTAGAATCAAAGGAATAATTATCCCCTCCCCTTTTTTTTTTAAAGTGTACAACACATTAGTTTAAATTTACGTTGTTAATTCTACATTCCTGAAAAGTAACACTGTTATAAAACTTCTAATATGGCTTGAACATGCAAAACAAAGAATTAGAATCAAAGGAATAATTATCCCCTCCCCTTTTTTTTTTAAAGTGTACATGAGGTATACCTATAATGAAAATTACAGGCCTCTCTCATCTTTTTAAGTGGGAGAACTTGCACAATTGGTGGCTGACTAAATACTTTTTTGCCCCACTGTACGTAACTATCACAGCTGAAGGATTTGAGAGAAAAATGACAAAAGAATTGTTCTTTATTTTAACCACATGAACAGGAGTGAAACAAACATGATATATCCAAGTATTTGCAGTAATTTTGCTTGAACACTTTGCCAGGTTTGTCTTAATCTTGATGTACAGAACCACTTGCAGTCAGATTTGCCAGACGTTCCAGAAATCCATCTCCACGTCATTTTCCAATTATGCTCCTCTTCAGTTTGAAATTTTGGTGTTCTGAAATACTGACTCTAAATTCGTCCTTGCCTATGATGTAAATGTGGATTTAATTATTTCTGCTTTTTCCTTGTGGGAACTAATTGTAATATCACGTTTGTGGGTTTGCTTGCTCTCTTCCAGGCCAACTGGATACAACAGTTGCACCACTTGTGAACTTTGGCTGTGGAACTGTTGCTGGAATTCTGGCCTCATTAGCTACTCAGCCTGCTGATGTCATCAAAACACACATGCAGCTCTCAACTGAAAAATACCTTCAGACTGGCCAGGCTATTGCCTTAATCTTCAGGGTAAGGCTGAGTGCATTAATTAGCTAACAGTACTTTGGCTCTTAAACCAGCAGCGGTAAAACATTTCCTAATTAAAATAAACCTGATAGCTGACTTCCCTTTCATCATGGTTTTGAAAAAGTATTCCTGAGTTAATTTCATCAAGATTTTACAGTGATTGGATCTAATGTGAAAATAACATAAGAGACATGTTAGGTGAGGTCAGGGGCTGATTTAATCCAGCATCCTGTTCCTGCAGTGGCTAATCAGATGTCTCTTGGCACAAGGAGGATGTGAACAGTATAGCATTGTCTTATTTACTCACATTGGTAATTAGCATTCAGAAGCATGGTCTTCTTGAAAGTCAGATGTAATGGTTCTTGTCCCATTGTGAAGTTGGATGTTGCTTTTGACACAGTTTAGATTTCATTTACAGGTAGTGCTCGTTTAACGACTGCCCGGTTTAGCAATTGAAAATTTAACTTTATGACCAGTCCTCGCACTTAAGATCTTTACAGTGTCCCTGTGGTCACGTGATTGAGATTCAGACACTTCATAATTGGCAGGCATTTATGACTGTCGCAGCGTCCCTTGGTCACATGATCATTTGCACCCTTCATAGCTTCCAACAAGCAGAGTCAATGGAGAAGCTGGCAGTAAAATCACAATTTGTAGACATGCGATGTGTCACTTAATGACTGTAGTGGAAGTAAGTCTGTCATGGTCATGTAATGTTTTGCTTAATGACCATGTCACTTAGCAACAAAGTTGCCGGTCCCAATTGTGGTTGTTATGCGAGTACTACCTGTAATTGTATGGGGTCAGGTTCAGTTCATGAGGTCTGAAGACATGGACAAAATGCTTGTAACTGTTTGATTTACTGTGTGTTCTCTTGTCTTCTCATTTTTGCTTATGTGAGCTAGCTGAGGGAGGCTGACTGGGTGGATACAGGGAGTGGTGAATGTTTTTTATGTGATAAGCTGGTGTAACCATCCTTCTAAGAGGTCATGGTCTATTCTCTTTTGAAAAGGCCTTCCCTAAATCCAAAGGGTTACGTTAACTACTGCCCAGGCATAAATATTCTCTTTGGATGAGGTGAATGAGAGGGTGCTGCCTGTATAGTGCAGACATATAATAATAAAGAAACCGTAACTAAACAGTAGTTAGATGCTGCAAGAAGATTACACAGACTGATTACAAACAACGGCACGACAAACTAGCAACAATGGTGCATTGGAATATCTGCAAGCAATACAACTTGCCTGCAAGCAAAATAGACAAAGTAATAGAAAAAGGAGAAGCTAAACTACTCTGGGACTTTAGAATTCAGACAGACAAGCACCCCAGACTTAACCATTGTTGATAAGAAAGATAAAAAAGTCTGGGTAGTGGACATTGCAATACTTGGAGACAGCAAAATAGAAGAGAAAAAACTGGAGAAAATCACAAAATATAAATACCTGCAAATAGAAGTAGAATGACAGCAAAGATAGTACCAATAGTAATAGGTGCCTTGGGTGCAATCCCAAAACATCTGGAGCACCACTTGAACATCGTTGCATTGACAAAATCACCATCAGTCAATTGCAAAAGGCAGCTTACATCCTGCGCTGATATCTTTAATACTACTAAACAACATCTGCCTATCCCAGGTCCTTAGGAAGGACTTGAAAGGTGAAAAAAAAGGTCAAACCCAGTCAAAACATCAGGCGGAGTGGGCGCCCAGCCATAATAATAACATGCCA